CAAGATTACATGGCATGTAAGTGGCAGAGTCAAGATTCTTAACCAGTGTATTAGCTGCTTCCCTGGGAGACGTCACATGTGTATTTGGGGCCCAGAATTCTCCAGGGGTCTTCACAAAGGTGGTATTTAACTTCGTCCACTATGTCAGGGTGAGTGATGCCCTGCCACTGGACCGTCAGGCACCTGTGGGGCCGCTGCCACTGATAGAGCAGGGATGTCGGGATGCTGATCAACCCCTTTCTGCCTCATTTCTGGGATGCTTCGTCCCTGGCTGAAGCACTGCAGTAGCAGGTTTACAGATGAAGCTGTGTTGTGGCTGTCACTTTCATCTTTCATGCCAAGAAGTACAAGGCAGAGAGTGCTGGCAGACGGCCCGTCTGGGCTGTGGCAGAGCAGTAGGTGTTGAGACCCAAGCTGACATGCTTGAGCACCTTTCAGAGGCCTTTTGTCAAATCCCACCATTTGCAGTCGTCCTGCAGAATTGGTTCTTTCTTCAGGAGATTTGATTCCCAATCCAATCATGTGTCAAATATCACCGTCATCTGACAGCTTTTTAAATGTCCATATTGCTTCTGAGAGTGAGTGGAAAAGGAAGGAGGTGGACAGGGGAAGGTCATGCCATTCTCGGTTGTTACATTCGGTGTCAGGTACAACAGAAACCAAGGGCATTTAAGCCCAAACGACCTTGGTAACTTGATCTCTCACATTCCATGTGTTCCAGCCAAGGAAATAAACACTGGTGTAAAATGTTGAAAAGATGCTTAACACTTTTATGTTACAAAGTGCTTTTACATTATCTGAGCCTCATCACACTCTTTACAGGTGAGAAAATTGAGCTTCAGGGAGAGGAAACATGTTGTCAAAGATTCTCCACTTAGTAGTTGGCACAGTCGAGGTGGGGGCCTCAGAAAGCTGCAAGGACTTCGGTGTTCCATGGACCTGGGTTCCAGCCTCACTTCTGCCACTACTGGCTTTGGTTGTCTCCAGGCCTCGCTTTCCTCCACTTTTAAATGGGCATCATCACAGTACCTACCCCATTATGTTCTTGTGAGGGTACAAGTGCACAATACATAAAAAGCTTGGCAGAGTACCTAGCACAAAGAGATAAATAGGAATGGTAGCTATTAGTATTAGTTCAAGTCTCCATCCATTAGGAATGAATCTGGCTTCAACTAATAGAATAGTCAAGCAATGTTGACTTAAAAACAAATAGGAGTTCCTTTCTCTTACAGTAAGTGTGAAGGCAGGTAGTCTTGGGCTGGCTAGCAACTGAATGATACTATCAAAGACTGTTTACCTTCTTTCATTCCATCCTAGTCTCCACTGCATGTTGATTTGCTGCCTCATGGTTGCAAAGTGGCAGCTGCAGTTCCATCCACCATGTTTGGGGGATATTTCCCCTTTAGTAAGGAAAGCAAAAGCTTTCCCAAAACTAACTACCAACCACAGCAGACATCTGTTTTTTTCTCATTGTCCTGAACTATGTCTTCTGATTCTCGGTAACTGCAAGAACACTTGGAAAGTGAGTGTTTAACTTTTCAGACTTAATTGTACAAGTGGCAGTGAAGAAGATAGATGAGAATAGGAGTAGATTAGGCCAACTGTATTTGCCACAGTTCTTAATGCCTCTTACAATGTCATTAAAATTTTTTTGTTTAACTAGTCCTTAGGTGTAGAGAGCTTAGTTAACTCTAATCATGTGTTCATGGCACATGAACAGCAAAGTCTCTTTTCTGGACTAAGTCCATTTAATTTTCACAAAATGTGTACTATTTCATGTGCATCTATTTTTTCCTTAACTTTTTTATTGAAATACATATACACTAGAGTGCACAGATGTTTCTAGATGGCTCAATAGATTTTTGCTATTTATCTTCATTAAAGTACCACTCAGATTAACATAGAATATTCCCACATTCCCAGAAACTTTTCTCTCTTTTCCCTACTCTGTTAATACTCCCTCCCGAAGGTAACCATTATTCTGATCTGTATCCTTATAGGTCTGTTTTACATGTTCTTTGACTTCACTTAACTGGAGTTGTACATTTGTATGTAGCCTGTAGAATCTCATGGACAGAGGAGCCTGGCAGGCTACAGTCCATAGTCTTTTTGGGTGTGATGGTTCATTCATCTGTGAGACTCATCTGTTACTGTAGGTAGTGGTAGTTCATTTGTTTCCTGCTCTCTCTGTATGCTTTGTCTCCCTGCACAGACTTGGAGTAAGTGGTATTATGAGAACCAGAATAGCACAGACATGGAAGTCACCCCTTTTCCACTCGTGGTGGAAGATACTCGTGGGGTATCCTTTCCTCATAAATCCACCCACTTTGATTTCTCACAAAGCTCGCCTGGGCACGGCTCCCTCCAGCACCATGTCTACTTTAAAAGGAATCTCTTGGGGACTTGTACATTTGCCTTGGATGCTCTCAGCATAAAAGCATTTTCTTGGAACACTTGGAGAGGGTGGAAGAGGAGAGTAAGAGAGCAGTGCTTCCTGAAAGGACGTTTTTAGTCAAAGGAAAAAAGTGCCAACTAAAGTCATCATTTGAAACTTAAGTCTGGAAGCCAGCCTTTGGAGCAGAGATTTAGGTTGGTCTTCCAGTGTTCTCCCCTACTAACAGTCTCCATTCAGGGCTCAAGGGCAAAAGAAACAACTCTGTCTGTCTTGGGGCTGGGAAAGCTGGTTTGAATTCAGGCTGACTCTGAGAAGTCTTCCTTTCCCCCAAGGCTCTGACTGGTGGGCTTTCCTAGCAAAGCCAGCATGACTATCTTTACAAAATAAACATTCAACTCCAGGACAAACTTGAGAGCAGGAATAAAGCTAATGCTTTTCAGTGGAGTCTTAAATGAAGATGAAAGGGACTAAATAGTTATTCCTGCAAGTATGGTCATGTCTAGGAATCAAGCAGAAAAATTCAAACTATGCACGTTAGCTCTAGTGGCTGGTCATCATCGTCTCTCTTTAGGTATCTGCTGGTTCTGAGCCTTGTGTCTGCTGGGATAATGAATTAGAATATTCAGCAGAGACTTAATCATGGGTTCTTTGCTTGGCAGCTAGAGCACACTGCGAAGGGACTAGTTTGGCAAGTTGGGTCATCTTCAGGCACTGCAGTTCAGGTCCAACACCCCTCCGTGTTTGTGTCGGTGGACACAGAGGATTAAGGGGATGAAGCATTGAAATCTACTGCCTCTAACGTCCGATGACCAGCCTTGAATTGAGCAAGATTTACTGCTAATGACTTTAGAAAGTTTTAATAAGTTATTGAGTAATTTCTGTATCCCTTGCCCTCATGAAGGGCTTTTCGTATGTTATTTCAATTATTCCCCACATAGGACCTTGTTGTTTATCCATTCTATAGATAATAGTTTGCACCTACTGATCCCAAACTGGGGAGATAGGTAAAGTTGTTCCCATTTTTGCAAATCAATAAATTGAGGATTAGAGAATTTAAGTTACCTGCTAGTAAGTAACAGGTAGTAAGTAGTAGGTTTGAGAGTCAACACTAAGTCTTTCAGATTCCAAAGACTGTACACTTTGTAAGATCAACTAGCTTTTAAAAATAACCCCTCTGTATATATACGGTGAAATACTACTCAGCCATAAAAGATGAAATAATAATGCCATTTGCAGCAACATGGATGCAACTAGAGATTATTATACTAAGTGAGGTAAGTCAGAAAGAAAGACAAATACCATATAATATAACTTACATGCAGAATCTCAAGTGTGACACAAGTGAACTTATCTATGAAACAGAAACAGACTCACAGATACAGAGAACAGACTTGTGATTGCCAAGGAGAGTAGGGAGGGAAGAACTGGGAGTTTGGGATCAGTAGGTGCAAACTATTATCTATAGAATGGATAAACAACAAGGTCCTATTGTATAGCATAGGGAACTATATTCAATATCCTGTAATAAACCATAGTGGAAAAGAATATGAAAAAAATGTATATATCTGTATAACTGAATCACTTTGCTGTATAGCAGACATTAACACACATTGTAAGTCAACTCTATGTCAATAAAATAAATTTTAAAACAACAAAAAATAAATATATAACTAAAAGTAAAAATAACCTCTTGCCTTTCTGATGAGCCAGCCCTCTTGTCAGCCCTTGCCTTCCCCTCATCCCAGCACATGCTCTTCAGAGTTTGTCCGATAAGAGACTGGCTGTCGAACAGCTAAAAGCTGTAAATGCTTTATCACTTACTTTGAATTTAGTTGTTGAATTGTCACTGTAACACAATTATATTTTATTAAGGAAATTTTTTAGAATATTTAAAACCATAGAGCTTAATGGAAAACACTCTGATGGATAAGAAGAAGACTGGTTTCAATCCTTAATGTCACCTTGAATCAAAACAAGCTGTGAGACTTTGGATACGGACTTAATTTCTGTGTGCCCATTTCCGTCCTTTGTGAAATGAGGAGGTTAAAGTATGTGATTACTAATGTCTCTCTCTGAAAAACCTGGGCCTCTATGCCTCTTCTTGTTTTGTTCTTGTGATTCTAAAATGGCTTCAGAGTACAAATATTTCTGAAAGGAGCCTTAATTACTAAATGCAAATCAAGAGAAGTGGATAACATTGGGGCTTTCAGAATTTTTTGGAATATATAAGTTCTTTACTCTTCCAAGCAAAGCTACATTTTCCACTGCATTTCTCAGTCCAACATTCCCACCAAAAGAAAAGTGTATAGTTTCTTAAATGATTCATATTGGAACTTAGATTCCTTGAGGGTCTGGCAAGCTTTAATCTTGGATAAGGTGATGTAAAATATTGCCAATAGCCAACCTCAGGTTGCCAACCCAAAATATAAGTCCCTCCTTGTTCAGTATATGAATTTATAACATAAACCATTTAAAATTCTACCTGGCACTATTGAATAGAATTGACACTGTTGGGCAACTCTGTAAAGAAGAAATAAGGCAATATTGTGGTCCAAGAAGTTAAGAATATGCTACACTTAAAGAAAATTTTACTGCATCATTTCAGACCCAATAAAGAAAAAACTGGCCATGTGAGTGACTCAGGATCGTCTGTCATCAGACATGGGCTTAATCCGGAGAAGGTCTTCATGCAGGTTCATTACTTAAAGGTAAGCGTCTCTGAGTGACAGAAGCCAGTTATTATGGTGCAGGACTTTTTAGATTTTACATGTGAACAGTGAAGGTTAGTAACATGGTTGGGGCAAAACAAACATATCGCAACATTGTAAATGACATTTGATTGAGCAGATTTTGATCATCCACCAGTTAAAAGCATTTCACACCCAGCATGAAGCCTGAATCAAAGGAAGGTGAACTGTTCCCTTCCCTGGATCTCCCTTCTTCCTGCTTCACGTCAGCCTTGAAGAGCAGAATCTTAAAATTGCTGTCAGGTTCCCACTAGAAGACTGGAGTGATTTTTTTTTTTTTTTTAGTATTTTAATTTGTAAAATCCTTTTCTGATAGCTAAAGGAGAGAGGAGCTGGGCCCCTTTTCCCTATTGGTCCGTAGTGGACATCCAGGTCTCATGTAAGCTGAAGGTAAATGAGAAAGTGACAACTGAGTTGAAACAGAGTAGTTGATCCTTAAGTCCCAAACCCAGCGCTACTAGTAACAATGCAAAGGGCTGCCGGAGACAGGTCAGTCCAAACGTTCTAGGTGAACATCTTGTGCTGGTGGGTAAGTTAGAGTTGATTTTGTAAGTATTTTTCTGATGAACCATGATGGGCATCTTTTTTTCTCCTTCCTTTCTTCTAGGGCTATTTCCTTCTCCGGTTCCTTGCCAAAAGACTTGGAGAGGACACCTATTTTTCATTTTTAAGGAAGTTTGTGCACTCTTTTCATGGGCAGCTGATTCTTTCTCAGGTAATTAATGAGTCCTTTTGAGTCCATGATATACAGCTGGAGAGGGTGTGGCATGTGGTAACTAGATTGTGTATTAAAAAGTAGGGAAAAGATTTACGTTTCCATGCAATAGGAAAAATAGGAAGTTAATGAAGTGAACACAGAAGTGTTTCTGGGAGGGTCATCACCTGGTCTTTTAGGACATACTGTAACCCAGAACTGTCCTATGTGCACAGTGCTGTGGGTAGTTGCACCTGAAGTGAACTTGAAAACCAAACCAAAGCGATTCCCACTGTCTCCTCCACCTGGAATGAGTTTTGCCAGGTTGGTGCCTTCTCGTCCTCTGTCTTAGCTTCAACACCACCATCCCAGAGTCCCTCTTGCTGAACAGAAGTGCGTCCACCCTGTTCTTCTCTACCCTCTGCCCTTTTCATTGTCTGCATTGCCATCACCATTCTTCATAATTATATTTTCCTTTCCGGGTTCATTTGTTTCTTTTCTCTCCCTTCCATTCTGTGTGTGAGCTCAACAAGGCCAGACCGTGCTCTTCATTTCACTGGTCCTTAGTATATGATTCACACACAGTATGTGCACCATATGTATTATAAATAGATTAAAAACAAGATACACTGAAATATTCAGACAACCTGAGCTGTCAGAGAGAGACTCTGTCAGTTTAGCCAGGTGTTAGGCCGAGCTGCACAAAGCGAGAAAGTTAACAAAGAGGCAGAGGCGCTGAAAACAGCACTCGTCGCTGGTGGAGAATCAAGGATGCAGTCTCAGCACAGATTAGACGGTTGTGTTTGTGTGTGTGTGTGTATGACAGTTGTGCTCATATACAGTTTTGAAGTCAAATTGTGCACAATGTTAGATGCAAAGGGTGTGCATGTATAAGCCAAACACACATGCAAGGAATAGCGTGAGTGTAACACGACTAGATAGCTATTCCGTGTCTCCACACTATTTTCTTTGGTTGAGATAATGGGGGCATATTTCTAAACATGTGTTAAGAAAGGGAGCTTGAAAACTGGCTCAGGAGTCTTATATGGTTGGGGGACTGACCAACCCAAACCTCTTCTCACCAAGATACTACAGAGTTGAAGGAGTGCGTTAGGTTTACCACAACCATTCTCACAACAGCTTTCCATGGAACACTTGGTGCTCCCTCTGCCAAACTTTCCATTTTACTTTTGTTTAACTCTTTTGAATTACAGCTTTATCGTTTTTTCATAACAGTGTTATTGAGATACAATTCACATACCATAAAATTCACCCTTTTAAAGTGTACCAGTCAGTGGTTTTTAGCATATTCATAACATTGTGCAACCATCACTGCTATCTAATTCCAGAACATTTTTATCACCCCAAAAGAAATCCCACAACTATTAGCAGTCACTTCCCAATTTCCACCTCCCCGCCAGTTGTACACAACCACTCACCCATTTTCTGTCTCTATGGATTTGCCTGCTCTGGACATTCTGTATAAATGGAGTCATGTAATAATGTGGCCTTGTGTGACTGCCTTCTTTCATTTAACATATTTTCAAGGTTCATGTTGTAGCATGTATTAGTACTTCATTTCTCTTTTTTAATTTTACTTTCTAACCTCTTAAATTGTGATGAAATATACATAAGAAAATTATCATTTAAACCATTTTTAAATGTATACTTAATGCATTAAGTACTTTCACATTGTTGTCAACTATCACCATCATGTATCTCCAGAACATTTTAATCTTCCCCAAATGAAACTTGTATCCATTAAACAATAACTCCACATTCTTCCCTCCCCCCAGCCCCTTGCAACCACCATTCTATTTTCTGTCTCTGAGTTTGACTATTATAGACACCTCATGCAAATGGAATAATATAATATTTGTCCTTTTATATCTGGATTTATATATTTGAGTTAACAAAATGCCTTCCGGTTTCATCCCTGTTGTATAGCATGTGTCAGAATTTTCTTCCTATTTGTTTTTATTTATTTAGATCATATCACATAGCTTGTGGGATCTTAGCTCTCCAACCACGGACTGAACCTGAACCCTTGGCAGTGAAAGCACAGAGTCCTCGCCATTGGATTGCCAGGGAATTAATTCCCTTAATTCCTTTTTAAGAATCAATATTTTTGTAGTATACATGTACTACATTTGGTTTATCCTCTCATCCAATAATTACCCCCTTGGCTGTTGTGAATAATGTTGCTATAACATTAGTGTACAAATATCTGTTCGAGTCCCTGCTTTCAATTCTTTTGAATATATACCTAGAAGTGGAATTGCTACATTATATACTGATTTAATTTTTTTAGTAACTGCCATACTGTTTTTCCACAAGGGCTACATTATTTTGCATTCTCACCAGCAATGCACAAGGGTTCCAATTTCTCCACATCCTTACCAACACTTGTCATTTTATTTTTTGATAATAGCCATCATTGTGGATGTGAATTTCACTGTGGTTTTAATTTGCATTTTTCTGGTAGCTATGCTGAGGATTTTTTCATGGACTTATGGGACATTTGTATATCTTTTTTGGAGAAATGTCTGCATATATGCTAAATTGCTTCAGTCATGTCCGACTCTTTGCAACCCTATGCACTGTAGCCCACCAGGCTCTTCTATCTATGGGATTCTCCAGGCAAGAATAATGCAGTGGATTGCGATGCCCTCCTCCAGGGGATCTTCCCCACCCAGGGACTGAACCTGTGGCTCTTATATCTCCTGCATTTGCAGGCAGATTCTTTACCCACTAGCACCACCTGGGAAGCCTTAGGAGAAATATCTATTGAGATCCTCTTCTGATTTTTTATTTGGGTTGTCTTTTATTATTGAGTTATAAGTATATATTCTAGATTCAAGTTCCTTATCAGATATATGACTTAAAAATACTTTCTTGCCTAATTATAAAGTTACTCCTATGTTTGTCATTCTATTTCTTATAGTTAGGTCTCCTACCCATTTTGAGTTAATTTTTGTATATGGTGTAAGGTGGATGGCTCAGCTTCATTGTTTTTTGTGTGAATATCCAGCTGTCTCCCTTCCATTTTTGTTAAAAAGACTAGTCCTTCCCTCCATTGAATTGTCTTGGCATCCTTGGTGAAAATCAGTAAACGTAAGAGTTTATTTCAGGTCTCTCAATTCTAAATTCTGTTGATCTCTATTTCTGTCCTTCTGCCAGTCCCACAGTAAGTTTGGAAATTATTGCTCTTTCAACTGACACATACTCATTATAAAAAGTTTAATAAGCAACACAGAAAAGTACAATGAATGTAGATATCATTCAAAGTCTCACCGTCCATAAATACTTAAAATTAAGAGTAGGTGAACATCATTCTAGAAGTTGCATTTCTTTTCTCCATTTCTATCTTTCTATATATGTTGTGTGTGTGTCTGTGTCTGGGTGTGTTCAGTTGCTCAGCAGTGCCCGATTCTTTGCAACCCCGTGGACTAAGCCCACCAGTCCCCTCTGTCCATGGGGTTTTTCCAGGCAAGAATACTGGAGTGGGTTGCCATTTCCCACGTGCCTGATCGTACACACATTGATAGATAGATGTATTTAGAAATAGTTTTATAAAAATAAACTATGTGCTTTTAATGAAAATATGTTTTAAATTTTATTTTACTTGAATTTAACACATGAAAAAGAAACTAAATTGAATATAAAAGACTTTCTTGAGCTTAAGATAAATATGAGAGATCATTTCCTAAGAGATTCTTCTACAGTTAAGAAACACAATTACAAAAAATCTTTTAGAGGTTGAAATTGTTAGTTTTTTCCTCTTTAGATATATATCTTAATTTTGGAAAGTATCAATTTATTCTCATATATTAACATTAATATAAAAGATGAGGAAACCAGTAGTTATGTTTCAACTACTTTTTCCCTGGTTCTAGATTTTTCTTAACTAATATTTTTACATAGTTCATGTTTATATCATTTATAGTATGTGATGTTACTGTAATTTTCACAGTTGTATAGTCCTAGTTCTGTATTTAAAGGATTTCATTATTCACTAACTGTCATTTTACCCTGCTTCTATATTTATGAATCCTTTTGATTCAACACTTTGTTGGCTAAATTTTGTTGTTAAATCGAAGTTCAAGTTGCTTGAGAATGTTTGCCTGTTGCCTTTATATTTGAATTACAAACTGGCTGGGTATAATATTCTTGGGTCATATTTTCATCTCCTCAGAACATTGTGGCTACGCTCAACTGCCTTCTGGCATTAAATCCTGCTGTTGAAACTTTTAAAATCAGTCTGTTTTATCCTCTTTATACCACTCAGATGACAGAAGAATTCTTTACCTTTGATGTTTATTAATTTAATCCAAAATGACTTGGTGTTCATGAGTCTGCATCAGTTTTGTTTTGCTTTTTTCCTGGAAAACACTACATCTTTAGACTCAACATCTATTCTTCCTTGTTTCAGTAAATTATCTTAATTGTATCTTTGAACACATTCATTTTTTTTCCCCTTACAGTATTCTGAATTTCAAGGTTACTGGTTATCTTTGTCATATCATCATTGTCCTCCATACATGTTATTTTCTAGTTATTTGCTTTTGTCTTTTTGTTCTTCACAGAATATGTTTATCTCAAGCAGTATTATTTTATTATTAATGTTATTATTATAACAGTGTTATTATTTTTCTTTAATGGCTATTCTTTTTCTTGATGTTTCCATTTTATTAATGCTCCTATGGTGGTATTATTTTGGTCCTTAATTTATTCCCTTTGCTTTGAAATCTCTTCCTCTTGTTTTATCATTTTGTCATCTTGTCTTTGAGTTTTCATTTTATTGAATTTATGTTCTTATTCAGTTCAGTTTCTCAGTTGTGTCCAACTCTTTGCGACCCCATGGACTGCAGCACACCAGGCTTCCCTGTCCATCACCAACTCCCAGAGTTTACCCAAACTCATGTCCATTGAATCAGTGATGCCATCCAACCATCTCATTCTCTGTCATCCTCTTCTCCTCCCGCCTTCAATCTTTCCCAGCATCAGGGTCTTTCACCTAA